TGTTGGCTATCTCTGACTTAATTATTAACCCATAACTGCTAATCTGAGTAATTCCACATGGTCTTCTCTTACCAGAGAAAGGGTCTGGACCTCTTACTCCTGTGACATCCTACGTGGTGACTGACTGTGCCTCTGTTTCTCAGAATCCTCCACCTTTCCTAGTCTCACCTATCTTGCTTCCCCATTGGCCAACAATAAGACAAACATATACAGAAGGACTTCCCCCAAGACTCTGAGACTAGGTTAATAAAATTAACCTTGGATCAGGGGGTGGAGCCTGCAACTAGTTGACAAGAATTAGCCATAGAGAGTTCAGAGGACCCAGGAAGATGGATAGAGAGATGCATAGAGATCCACAGGCTTCTTGAGTTTGGGACAGATGGACCTCTTTCTGGGTCTCCAGACAAAAAGGAAGATCAGCTGTTTGCTTCTTGGCTTCTCCAATCTAGCAGGTTTTCACCCCAACATCTGACTCTAGAGTCTCTAATGGTAAATAGATAAAAACAACAGTGTAGGGAGAATGGCATCCTCTGACCTCCAGGTGTAAGGTTCCTAAGATGTTGCAGGAATGTGTGTAGGGACTGGGGATCATGCTTCCTCTAACTTTATGAGCCAGGGTGCTCCAAGAGTGTGGTGCATGTTAGCCAGTTATGGGTGGGCTTTATGTCTCTTCACTCGCTCAGTTGGGACATGCGCACAGTGGCAAAGGTGTGCACTGGAAGGAGAGGAAGTGTCTTTCTTCTGGCTTCCCCAGCTGGGGAAGGCACAGGATGGAAGGCCTTGAAATCTTTAACGTGCATAACCAGGATGGGTATGCTGAGAGGCAGAAATGCACAGAAGACAAGAGGGTTGGGAGACTAACCTATGCAGTCAGGGAAAGCATGATAGAGGGTGTATGGGGGGGTGGTGGAAGGTCCATGGTCTTTTAGCCTGTGTGCCTGGGGTAGGGAGAGAGCAGTGGAACTTTGTAGAGGAAAAATAAAGAACTCTGACCTAGAGTGAGCAGAGGCCAACAGGATGCAGAGCAGAGATGTCTGACTTATCTGGGTGGGATGCTTACAGGGAGAAAATTGTGTTTTGGAGTAAGGAGGTCTGCAGACTTCCTATCCAGGCCAGGTGCTTGTGGGGGCAGCATGATTTTTTTTTCTGTTTCCATGGAGACAAGAACTTCCAATCTAGCAGATAAATAGGAAATATAATTTCTATCACTGAGTCATTGGAACACACAATGAGAAGGACCAATACCTTTTCTGAGTTTTGGATCTCAGGTTCCAACTATTCCAGTTCTGTAACTATCTCAGACAATGGCATCCCCATCCTGTTGAGGGCTTTGGGTCTGGGGATGTTGCTGGTGCTACTAGAACAATGACATCCAGGAGGTACTATGTGGCAGAACCAGTGCACCCCAGTCATATGCCCCATTGTGCCATCTTCCTGCCATGAGGCCATGAGCATTTTCGGCAGTCAGTGGCAATCTGTCAGCAAATTGTATTTGGAGTGAAGGCAGGGGAGCTGTGAATGGAAGAAATTCACCTGAAGAGTGGCATCAATTCCTTTAAGTCAAACTACTGATCTGTACAGGAAGTCCATTCTTTGAAATTTCAGTCCTAATGACATTACACCCACTTAAAAGGGCAAAAACCTCCCTAATGAACTCTGGAATCCCATGCTTCTTTGTGTTGGTCTCTGTTATCTACCTCTGCTACCTGCACAATTATGTCTCAAATCAGTGGCTGAAAAGAAACCAAAGAAAGAACATATCACACAAGCTCTCCAAATCATACTTCCACAATCTTGGCGGACTTCAAACAGGTTTTTCTCTCCCGTCCTACTTCACATCTACATCTTCCACAGACACATAGCTCTTACCTCCTCTCTAGATCCAATTAGCATGCGGAGACTAGAGAAAAACAAGAACGTAGCCTGCAACCCTTCATGTCAATCACAATTCCTACAGTACTGAATCATAACTTGAGGCAGGATAGTTTTTACAAGCCTAGAGGCAGTCAGTGCACGGTACTCCAGTTATTTTCATGAAGGAGCCAACTGATCTTTTTCTACTTTACTAATGGGGCATCTGCCAGCTCAATAACGACATAAAATTTGCATTCTAGTAAAGGCTCACATATTTCACAGCAGCTGCTACCAGAGCTACTGTTTGGATAAGTTTACCAGAGCCCATCAAATGAACATCATGCCTTTACCTAACTACTGCAAAGGACAAAAAAAACACATGTCAACATCCCTACATTTTGAAAGTCGTGGTTGGTAATGCCATCTCTGAAATTCCTTAGAATTAACATGTGATTTCAGACTCTCCCCACTAAGGAGAGAACACCTTTCTGTACATTTTCAAGTCTAGCTAGCAATGAAATTTCTCAAATTCCCTGTAGGTACGATTAATATCTGATTTCCTACCTTGGACCCTAAGAAGCAGATGATTTCAAGAGTTTCCACCTGCTCCTTCCAAACATCATCAGTCATCACAGTTCAGAGATGCTGTTGTTAAGTGGCTGACTATCACTCATTCTCTGAAGGATTGCACGGACCTCACGCACATTCTGTGAGGCAGATTATGGCCAGCATGCCTTTAGCCACTTGGCCTCTACTGAGTCTTCAGCATCAGTGTCAACTCAGACTCTGTGTCCAACTGCCCTCATGACTTGGTAATTTGCTTTCCACAGAGTAAGTCCTTGTGCAAATAGCTCCAAGTACCTCGGGAGTTGAACCCTTACTGAAAGTACCTGGTAGTGTTATTACAGTGTTCTTCATCAAGAGTCAAGGGAACTGCTTCTCCCTCAAGGGAGGACTTGGCACATGAGATTATTGGTGTGTGTGTGAGGGGGGGGAGAAGTTCCTTGGTTCTTCTGTTTGTTTTGTGGCTAATTAAAGCAATGGACATGCTGAGACTGCACACCTGTCTTCACATTAAGAATATGCATCTTTCATGAGTCCACAGGCAATAGTAACCGGGTTTCTGCTCTAGCTACATGGCTGGTCATAACTGCATTCACCTGGCTCCTATTGGTGAACAGGGCTGCAAACCTATCATTAACATCATCCCTAACTCCATGGTAACATCTGGCAATGCTTCCTTTCCATTCCCAGTGGACGTATCTGAGGGCAGCGTACCATGCAAAGGGAACAGTGAATGCGAAGCATGAGGCATGATGTGCCTGACAGGGACTAGATGAACTCTGAAAGGGTTTGTGGATAGGACCCATCAAGGACAAGCTGCCAGCCATGGGAAGGGTGCTGGGTGTCAATGAGATGGTGAGCCATGAAAGGGTTGTCAGCACAACAGCGTCAGATCCTAAAAGGCTAACTCCCGCTGCTGAGCAGAATTAGGCTGTAAAGAAATAAGGAAGTCGAAAACCCTGTTAGGCTGCTGGGATTGCCCAGGCAAAGTGGGAGGACCTTGACACCTCTTGTAGTCTAGGTTTATATTATATTTGCCTTTTCACCTGTGCCCTGTAACTCCTTGAGGGTGGGGAGCTCTACTTATAAATTATGCATATAACCTACACATATGCCCATTCAGCAGGTGCTTGGTAGACATGCTGCTGCAGTAGCTAACAGTAATAGGGCTTTACTGCTGCTGTGTGCTATTGTTGAGCGACAGAATGACATCACTGGATGGGCTTTGTTACTCTCTTTAGGATTTTTTTTTAAGTTTCAACATTCATACAACACTGGCCTAACAAGGATGGCATTAAAAAAATGTCTAATTGGACCCCTCCACCCCAACACACGCAAGGCAAAAATGCTTCTCTGTCTTCATAATTCTGGTGAAAGTTTAAAACTTAGTCATAACTGCCTGGATTCTAACGTTTCTGTTGGCACTATTCACCCCTTTCCCTACCAAAGCAGGCTCTCAAGTACTGTATCGGTTATGGCAAACATAATTACCCTTGTCACCAAACGCATCTTGGTATTTTCATTGTATCTCAGTAATTGTAGGTGTAGCTCTCAGTGGAGGTTAATTTATGATATTTGGAAACCAAATAAACCATAAACGTTATGATATTTGTCAGACTCCAAAGTGGAGATTTACGTTTCGAGCAGTGAGTGGCCCCTTCAATACAATCCCGGTAACGTTTCTGGCCAATTACAAACCATCATCACTGAAGGGGCATGTGATGTTAGGATCCCTAGGCGTGTGTTTCTTCAGTCCATCTTGGCCATAAGATCAAGAACGGGTCCTGAGACTGAGGCAGGGAAGGAGTTGAGAGGGAACAGGCTGCTTTCAGTTCGAACATTCTGCATGTGGCCTCCTTCACACGTATCGGCTCACGGCCACGGATGTGAAGTCACCTGGGTCATGGACCCCCACAAGACAGATAGAACCGGTGTCCTCGCCCAGCCACAGAGCAGGGAGCATGCGCGACAGGTAGCGGCCCAGAGGGTCGGCGGAGGGGCGGGGCCGCGCGCTTGCGTATGCGCACAAAGCCGCAAAGGCGGAAGTGGTGCGCGGGGTCTGGCTGTGTGAAGACCTTCCGGGGAGGTGGCGGCCGCGGCGGCCGGCGCCGGAGCAGGATCCTAGGTGGAGGAGGTGACAGCGGCGGAGCTGGGAGTGGGACTCGCCGCGCGGCCAGGTGCCGTCAGGCAGGACTGGGGAGGGCGCCCACACCGTGTCCGCAAAGAAGGTGGACGCCGCCGTCGGGGTGGCCGGGGCGCGCGCGGACCTGTTGGGGTAGCGGGTGCGAGCGCTTCCGGGACGAGCATCCTCCCCTCGGGACGGGAGACCACCTCCCGGACTCCCGTAGCCTGCTGTTGGTTGGTCTCCCGCATTCCCCAGACTGTTTTTGCAGTTCCGAGCTACTTCCGGGTCTGTGTCCGGACCTCTGGTACTCCTCTGTTTGCGTTGCCACGAAGTGGCTGTTCTTGCAGAGCTATTAAGCTTATACCGCGGAAAGTCCTGTGTGTTCTTTCCGGCTTCGCAGCTGAATTCTCTTCCTCATACCCGCCCTTCTGCCCCCTTCCCCCCCCCAAAAACAACACTGAAAGATTTTGTTGGTATGCTAACAAGAGTTGGGTTTTTTGTTTTGTTTTCTGTATTTTTAAAAACTACTTCTACAGTTCTCGTACAGTGGATTATCAGAGTCCAGAATTTTAGTTAATGTTTTTATTACAGGTGAATTGAAATAGTTTGAGTCTTGGAGAAAAAAGACACTGCCAGCATTTGAAAATATAGAGTATAAATTAAACCCTAACTTTAGCACTTGAGGAGGAAAGTTTCAAAAATCACCAGTCTCCCACAGTTTGTGAGATGAGGTATAGGCGAAATCAGAATCTTGCTTTCTGCTTTATACTCTTATTCCACACACTGTAATTTACCCAAAGTGCAGACGAGACGTGAAGACAAGTGTGTCACCTGGGTGTGGCAAGTTCTGAATGGAGTTGGCCTTTTTCACATCCCACCTTTTTATAGTAGAAAGCTTTTATCTTTTCGTGTTACAAGAAGACCTAGAACAAGACCAAGCTGAGGCCAGTGAGATGGGGCACCATCTGAGAGCACTTGCCACCGAGCCTGGCCCTCAGAACCCACAAAGTGAAAGGAGAGAACCTGTTTCCCACAAGTTGTCATCTGACCTCCACCTGAGATCGGTGGCATCTACACACAGATTTTAAAGAAATATGTCCAGATAACTTCTATGTCAGTATGTCATTGTAAGTCAACATCACCTGTTTCTGATTTTTTTTAAGACTGAAAGGACTTCCTTTAATTGCATTTTAGCTGTTATTTTTTTCCTTCAATGTGCTAAAGGGTTAAGTTTAAGAAGGCAGATGTCTTAAGGCAGAGATCCACTTTAACGATTTCTTCCTGTTTTAGTTTCAGAGGTTATTTCAGATTTCTAAAGCAAAGCAAGGTGTTGATTATTTCATTACTTTTAATCCTCTTCTTGAGCTTTGGCTTGGGTTTTTGTTGTGTGTTTTTCTTTTTCTTTTTTTTTTTTTTCTTGAGACAAGATCTCTGTCCAATCTGATATTAAAGTCCCTATGTAGTTTAGGTATTTCACCTGGAATATAAGAACTTTGTCCCAGGTTCCTTTTTTTTTTTTTTTTAGATTTATCTGTATGTGTGTGTGTGTGTGTGTGTGTGTGTGTATGCATGAGAGTTAAAGGCAATTGCAAGCCTCCTAGCATGGGTGCTAGGAACCCTCTGCAAGAACAATAAACATTCTTAACCACTGAGCCATCTTTCCAGCCCTGGCTCTGATTCTTTAGATAACAATATCAATTATTAGTATTAGAAACAAGTGAGGTGCAAACATCAACGATTGCAGTTTGAGAGTAGCAGAGACCTTCGTGTCCTGTAAAACTGCACACTAAATGCCAGGGTTTTAAAGGGCAGGTTTTTGTGGTACCCAGGCATCACCTAAGCAATGGCAGTGAATCCATTTCCTCGTTCATCATAAGTGCTTGATGGGAAATTCAGGAGAGATGAGTAGTGTGTTGCACACATTAAGAAATGGTATTGCTGAAGTTATTTATCTGCACATACATCCTAGATCTGCAGCTATAAGGCTTCTGGGGAGTGTGTAGGAGTGATAAAGTTCTGGAAGAGAATGGAATGGAATAATGTTGTTGACCATGTCTTTAGAAGTGCACAGAAGACCTTCAATTCTGTGTCTTAATGTTTTGTCGTGTGGTATCATATTGTGGGTGATGCAGAGCCATTTGTAGAGCAGGCTAGGTGGGGAATCCGGATCCTCATTTCTTCCTTCATGTCAGGAGGGTGAACTAGTTTCAGCACACCAGGCCATTGCCAACGACGTTTCTGAAAAACTGAATAATGTAAAATAATGCACTCGGGTTGACATACTGTGTGCTGTGCACGTCTGCGTTTATCATACTGAAAAGCTGAATAATGAAAGCTAATGCATGGGGATTGTCATACTGTGTGCCGTGCACATCTACATTTATCTCCTAGATTCTGCAAAATTCTTTACAAGGTGTACCTTACTTTTCCCAGTACAGATGCAGGACCCAAAGCTCAGAGAGAATACTTTGTCCAAGACTCCTCAGGTAGCATCCTAGTTTAGGCCTCAAAGTTGCAAACCATGGGGACTGCTTTCTTATACTTTGTGCTTGCCATTTAACGAGAAGCATTTCAGAAGAGGGCAATGTTGGGAAGAATTGCCTTCTGAAGAAATATTCTGATGTCACTATAAGTAGGGAATTGATTTTTACAAGACTCATTCTCTGTGTGTGCTTTTCAGCCCAAGTATAATATCTCCACTCCTCCCAGTTCATATCTACTGTACATTTTCCGTTTATCTCATCAAGTTTGCCAACACTATGGCCCTTTCAAAAATGTATCCAAGTGAGGCGGATGTGAGCTGGAGTTTGAGGCCTGTCTAGTAGACATGCCAATTTATTTGGTTTCTGTTATGGATGAAAAGTCTATGCCAGATACCAAGATGCAGAGACTGGTGATGTTTGGGTCTTGGCCTTATCTTTTCCAGGGATTAATGAAAGGTGTCATGTTGGGGCATATTATTTTAAGGTGTGTTACTCTTGTTTATGTTGCATTTGTTTAACTCTGTGATGCTGTGTTAATGTGACTGAAACACCTGGTGGTCTAATAAAGAGCTGAATGGCCAATAGCAAGGCAAGAGAGGAATAGGTGGGGCTGGCAGGCAGAGAGGATGAATAGGAGGAGAAATATGAGGGGGAATGAGAAAGGAAGGAGGACTTCAGGGGCCAGCCACCTAGCTACACAGTCACCCAGCCAGACATGGAATAAGGAAAGAAAAGGTATACAGGAATAAAGATAAAAGCTCTGAGATCAAAGGTAGATGGGGTAATTGTAGTTAAGAAAAGCTGACAAGAAACGAGCTAAGATAAGGCTGGGCATTCATAGCTAAGAATAAGTCTCCAGTGTGTGGTTAATTTGGGAGCTGAGTGGTACACCCCCCAAAAAAGCAAAAAGAGTAAAACATTGAACTACATTTTTGACTGTTGTTTTCTTTCTTTAAAAAAAAAACTCTTGAATTTTTAGGGGGCCTACCCTCCACCTCCCAAGTAAATCACACATGGAGGCTTATTATTCTTAGTCATGATGTCCAGCCTTAGCTTGGCTTGCTTCTTGCCAGCACTTCTTAACTTAACCACTCTTCCTTTTGCCCCTGGGGTTTTCCTTTTCTTGCTTCTGTATACCTTACTTTGACTCCTGCTCCCAGGCAGGCTGGGTGGCTGGCTCCTGACATCCTCCTCCCCTTATCCTCCTGTTACTTCACCTCTTTCTCCTTTCTCTTTCTGTTTATACTCTCAGCACTGAAACACAGGACAGTGGGAGGAGGGCAATTTAAAACACGGCTTATCATGAAACCTGTAAAAATCTTAAGGAAGTAAGAATGATTGAGACACAGCAAGGAATGATTTGTAGGGGGTAACACTGATACCCAGAGCGACTTAGCTGCACCTGTAAATTTTATAGTGTACTTTGGATTGTTTGAATATGATACTTCATAGGCTGTGCAATTTGCCATAACTGCTTATTCTCTTTTCTAGGCTCAGCCAGCAAAGGAAAGACAGGACCCAATAGTGGAAACCAGCAAAGACAAGGTTGCAGGCCTTGAATGTGGCAAAGCAACAACAATGGACCTCAAGTTCAACAATTCCAGGAAGTATGTCTCCATCACTGTGCCATCCAAAACCCAGACAATGTCACCACACATCAAGTCAGTTGACGACGTTGTGGTGCTGGGCATGAACCTCAGCAAGTTTAACAAGCTCACACAGTTTTTCATATGTGTTGCTGGAGTTTTTGTATTTTACCTAATTTATGGATACTTACAGGTAAAAAGCAGTCCTATATCAGTCCTATTTTAGCACTTAATGCCCATGTTGGTTTTGACTACTTGTTTTCACCATGATATTTTTATTTACAGGCTAACAGTTGACTCAAAGCTTGAGATTTTTGTAGAACAATAACCTCTTAAAAAGTAAAGATCAGACTGTTGAAGTTAAATATTTTAAGTTGGAAAGGAAGGCTGTCTTGCAAAATTAAAGTTATGAAAGTAAACTTACAAATATTTAACAAAACAGGTGACTGCAGCTGTGTGTTCATATCTTTAAAGGCTTGCTCATTTATTTTTTATTTGTGTGAGTATTTTTCTTGCATATATGTAAGTGTACCACATGTGTGCCTGTTGCCCAAGGAAGCCTAAGGAGGGTATTGAATCCCTGGAATTGGGCCAACAGAGATTGTGAGCAGCTGTGTAGATGCTAGGACATGGACCTGGGCCATCTGCAAGAGCAGCAGTGACTTCCTTTAACCTCTGAACCATCCAGTCACATGCACACACATGCTGATTTTAAAGAGAATGACCTGAGCATTGGTCCATGCCTAGGAAGATCATTTTACAATAGAGTTGGAAATAGCACAGAAAGGAAGGAAGGAAGAAAGAGCAACGTATCAGCAGTTAGAAATAGGGACTGGAATTTTTCTTGTTAAGCATTTTCTTCCCTTCAAAATGCCCCTATTACAAATAACTTGGAGGCACAGGTAGCCATTGCAAAGGAAAATGATGCAGTTGCCTTGCCATTCTTTGCAAAGCTCCAGGGCCTTACCTGACTGAGATAGTGAGGGGCTGAAAAATGATAAACACGTGGACACAGAAAACCTGGGGATCGGGTGCACTGGGGTCTCAGATGAAGAAGCCACAGCACCCCGGAAGCTCAGCATATTTATTATACACGATTGAACGGGGAGGTGAGGTATTACATACAGCTTGGACAAGGAGGCACAGCTGAACAGGGAGGCAGGTTTAGCCAGGCTTACTCCAAGCATTCTCTGTAGGGGAGCTGTCTTCAGGCCATGTTGAGGCTGGGGAGAGCTAAGGTGAACATTTTTTGCATATAGTGTCAACATTTGTAGTTGGAGCAAAAGAAGGCTTTACCACTCCCCTGAGGCATCACCTGGGGATGGCTTTGACACTCCTGTGAGGTTGAGGCATCTGGGTCTTTGGCATGGCCATGCCCATTTCAGCGGTGTGCAGTCACTTAGGACTTCACTCTCTCACTGTGTAGTCTATAACTGTTATTGACTGCATTTTTTCTATTTGAATAATTAACATATTTCCATCCAAAGCAAATATCAAAGTTTTTAGTTGTGTAAGTCCTTCACACTGTAGCTTTTCTACTGTGACTTTGTGAGCACTTATGTGGTTTCTAACTCTTTGTAATTGTACATTAAAGTAGTTAATATAAAGTGACTAGGGCCTATTTTATCTATCCCACACACACCCATACTGGGTGGAAAGTTCAGTTCATTCAATTAAAAGTAAACCATGTAACATTTGTAGAATACTTCTCAATGACTTGTTAAAATGGCTGATTAGTTATTAAGTGTACATGTTACTTCATAATATAATATCGTGTATAGGAGCTGGGAATTTAGCTCTTTTGGTAGTGTTTGCCTAGCAGGCACTAAGCCCTGGGTTCATTTCCCAACACTGCATAAACAGGATGGTGACATGTGCTTAGGATCTTAGCGCTGTGGACACAAACACAGGAAGAACAGAAATGCAGTGTCGCTGTAGGTTGAGAGTGGGTGTGAAGTTAACCTGGATTATGTGAAACCCTGTCTCAAAAAAGAAGAGAGAGAAATGCACATACTGCGTGTTTAGGGAAATAAAACATCCCCTATACAAGGAGATTATTATATAATCTGTGACACATAATTTTGAAAATGCTATAATAGGAACCGTATCACTGTAGAAAACCAGTGGAGTGAATGAAGTATGGCTTGCTTGCTTTTAAAATGTACTCATAACAGTGGACTGAAAGTCAGTCTCCGCCTTGAACATAACAGCATTCGTTGTCTTCCTACAGGAGCTGATATTTTCAATGGAAGGCTTTAAGCCCTATGGCTGGTACCTTACCTTAGTGCAGTTTGCATTCTACTCAATATTTGGCCTAATAGAACTTCAGCTCATTCAGGACAAAAGGAGAAGGTATGTGATGTGTTTATCGTCGTCAGTTGAATGTGGGGTGGGTGTGCGGCTTTGGGGGGGGCGGGTGTCAGCCTGCCAACTGTGCATGATTCTACATTTCCTGCTAACATGTGATCATGAGTTTTTAATCAGTATAAACTACTTGCTTAAGATAATAAATCTGTTTCCTTTATGCCCTGGAAAAAAGTAGATTTCCCCTTTTAAATGCAGTGTCACAACATTAAATAGAACATGGGTCAACTCATGGTTGGGCACACTTCCTCAGAGGTCAGATAACACATTATCATAACCTGAGCATGCCTAGTGAAAGATTTAAAATGTGCCAACATCACAGTAGGTAAGCGAAAGGCCAGTGTCAACTTTTCTAATAGTTTTTGAAGTGTCAAGTTAATGTTTTGTGGGTTGTATCTCCTGACATTGTCACAAAGTGTCTAGTAGTTGAGATCTGGGTATTTTTTACTTTTTTAATGAGTTAATAGTAAGAGTTTCATTATGGCATTCTCATGTACATGTGTCATCATAAGATGTTCTAGATCATCCCCTCCCATACCGCACCCTACATCTTACCTGTCCCACTCTTGCTGTCCCTTCCCATAGGTAGTCCCCTCACCTGGTTTCATGATGTCACAGGTGTTTGATTACCCTCTCTTCCTTCTTCCCTGTTGTCCACTTTCTAATTTCAAGTACTTCCTCAAAAGTTTCATATACATAAATGTAGGTACCCTTATGGGGGGGCATATGGCTGTCTCTTTATGATTATCCACTAGTTCATTTAACATCAAGAATTCCAGCTCCATCCATTTCCTTGCAGTTGTCAGGATTTCATTTCTCTTCATAGCTAAGTAAAGCTCCATTATGTAGACACGCCTTGTTTTCTCATCTGTTCATAGGTTGTTAGATGTCTCACTACTCTGGCTGTTGAGAATAGTAAAGCTGTAGACATGGATGTGCAAATACTTCTGTGGTATGTCATCTGTTCAGTAGATGAGGAATGGCATATCTGGACCGTGTGCTATGATACTATTCTTTAGTTTTTTTTTTTTTTAAAAACCTTACTAATTTCCACAGTGGTGGCACCAGTTTATATTCCCACCAGCAGGGTATACACATTCCTCTTTCCCCTCATCCCCTCCAGAAATGTAGTTTCATGCATTGTGTTTTCTTTGTGATAACCATTCTGACTGGATTGAAGTAGAATCTCAAAGCAGGTTGAATTTGCATTTCCTTGATGGCTAGGGATGTTGTCCATGTTTCCAAATACCTACTGGCCACAGACATTTGCTCTTGAGAATTGTGTATTCGGTTTCTTAGCCCGTTTCTTGACTGCATGATTTGTGTTATGGTTTTTAACTTGGGAGGGGTAATATATTCTCAGTATTAATCCACTGTCTGGTGTATAGTTAGCACAAACTTTTTTGCCCCATTCTGTAGGCTGCATCTTCATTTGGTGTTTTCTTTGCTGAAGAGATGTTTTTTTAATTTTATGTGATATAGTTTGTTTGTTCTTGGGATTCTCCTCAATTCTGGAGTACCTTTAGTAATGTCACTGCCCATTCCTGTATCTTGAAGTGCTTCCCCCTAATAGTCTGAGAGCATTAACTCCTGCATTGAGTTCTTTGGTCTATTTTTAACTCATTTTTTACGTGGTATGAGTTATGGCTATAGCTGTATATGAGTGTCCACTTTCCCAGCGCTGTGTGTTGACTGGGGCTGTCTTTTCCCATTTTATGTTTGACACCTTTGTCAAAAATGAGTTGTATGTGGTTGTGTGAGCTTCTCTACAGATCTTCTATTCTGTTGGTCTATATTTGTTGGGGGTTCACCGTCATACTTGTTTTATCAATGTGGCTCTATAGTGAAATTCTTTGTGACACCTCAGCATTGTACTTTGTATTAGGTGTACTTTGAGGTCCTTTGTGCTTGTGAATGATTTTTAGGATTGTCTCAATCCAGTGTCTTCAGTTTCTTTATTGTCTGCAAGTATCATTATAGCAGTCTTTCATGAACTCTTGGTTAAGTTTATTCCTTAGTTAACTGCATGTTTTTATTTTGGTTTTAAACAATTGTAAGTAAGATTTTCTTCATTTCTTCCTTAGCAAACTTTGTTTTGGTATATAAAATTAATCAGAAGAATCGTCTGGTAGAATCTTTAAGTTCTTTCAATATAGGATCATGCTGTATACAAATATGATTTGGCTTTTTTCTTTCTTATTTGTTTTCTTTTTTCTCTTCTCTAACAAAGAATATGGTGTTTTAGTTTTTCAAAATGCAGTGTGTGTGTGAAACTGGGAGGAAGGCAGGGAGGCAGGGAGGCAGGGAGGGAGGAAAAGGTCACAGCATGTATGTGGGCATGTGTGTGAGGAGGTCTGAGGACCAGGAAGAGAAAGCCTAAGTGTCATAGCATGTATGTGGGCATGTGTGTGAGGAGGTCTGAGGACCAGGAAGAGAAAGCCTAAGTGTCACAGCATGTATGTGGGCATGTGTGTGAGGAGGGCTGAGGACCAGGAAGAGAAAGCCCGAGTGTCACAGCATGTATGTGGGCATGTGTGTGAGGAGGTCTGAGGACGCCTTTCAGGAGTCAGTTCTGGGACTGCTCTCTGAGTCCTGGTTTTCAGTCTTTGCAGCAGGCCAGTTTATACACTCAGCCATCTTGCTGGCCGTCTAGCTAAGATTTTGAGCACTTTGAGTATATAGGCTTGTAGTCTGGGGACTTGAATTTCTTGATGTGGATGTTTTCTATTCCTAGTTTCTTAAGAGTTTCATCACGAAGGGGTAATGAACTTTGTGATGGTTTCTCCATGTATTGAGATGATCTTGTGATTTCTGTCCTTAAGATTATTTATGTGATGCATTACATTGATTTGTGTTTATTGAGCCAGCCCTTCATCTCTGATGTGAAGCTACTATGTCTGTTAAATCCATTCACCAGTGGTATAGTTTAAAGTTTCCTTGTAGATTTTTAGTTTGAATGACCTGTCTAAAGATGAGACTTTATTACTATATGTTGCCCTTTTTTTTTACTTAAGTGGACTTCAAGTTATCAACTACCAGAAAGCCACACCAGCTTGTGTTCAGTTTCCATTTGCTTGGTAAGTTCACTTCCGTCCTTTGTCTCTTTGTCTGTAGGTATCTTCCAGAGAGATGTTTCTTGGAAACATTAGCTAGATTTAGATTTTAATATTATCATCCAGTTTCCATCTCTTCATTGTTGAGTTGAAGTCATCTACACTTGAGGTCATTTATCTTTGGAAATTGTTTACTAATTACTGTAATTCTCTTGCTTAAATTGTTGTTTGTTCTTTCTCCCTCCTCTTAGGGGTTTGCTGGTTTACTGCATTGGACATGGTGAATTGCTTCTTGTATGTTCCTCTCATGAAAGTTATGCTTTATTATTGTCTCATGAATGAGACAGGTTTTTCATCTTCCTCTGTGTTTAGTATTCCTCTAAGTATCTTCTGGAACACTAAACTAGTGGTTATGAAGTGCCTTAATTTGTGCTTATCTTCAAATATTTGCAGTTTTTATCAGTTTTCTGTGATAATGCTGTTGAATATAGCAGGCTTGAACTGTGTCATTCCATGATTTCCTGGATTGAAGTTGCTGAGAGAGATCTGATGTTACTCTGATGTTTGTATTTCTGTAGGTGAACTGGCATTTTCCTCTTTGAGCTTTTAATCTTGTTCTTTGTATTTTTGTATGCCATGGAGACATTCATCTCTGGTCATGTCTATTTGGAACTTTGAACTTTTGTGTTTGGATGCCCATTTCTTTCACTAGACTTCTAAGATTTTCTGCTATGATTTTACAGGCTCCATGCCTGTCATTCTTAACTCAGCTTCTACTCAAGGTTCTTACTTTGCGGTTATACCCCTTTATTGTTTTCTTTATCAGTATTTGAATGTAGCATTTATCTTCTGTGGCCTCCATCCCTGACACTTTCTTTCTGCTTGGTCAAGTCTCTTGGTTATGCTTTCAATTGTGTTTTTTTTTTTTAATTCATTGAAAGTTTTTGTTTCCAACTTTTTTTTTTCAAAATCTCAATTTCCTTGATGATTTTTCCCCTTGCCCAGCTTTTCATCTATATTGCAATCCACCACCACCACCCCCCCGCTGCTATATTTCTTTAACTTTTCTGCATTCTGACTTCAACTTCTGGGTTTTATTCCTAATGCCTGTGTGTGTGCTCTTTAAGGTCACTTATCATTTTTACTAGTACACTCTGGGTGTGTCTTCAATATTTTACCATTTCAGTAGTATTATTGAGTTCATTAATTGAGTTATGATCTTTTGAAGTCACATGCCCCCCTCTCCCCTCTCCTCCCTCTCTCTTCCTCTTCCTCCCCCTCCCCCTCTCCCCCCCCCGCCTCTTTTTTTGTGTGTATGTTTTTTGTAGCCGTTTATGCATCTCTTGGTTTGGGTATCCCTTCCAATTCCTTTTCTTGAAGGCTCAATCCCCAGTACAATTCAAAAAAGTAACTTAAATGCAGCTCACATATCACCAATGACATAAACAGAAAATGGCAAAAGCTAATGTAGAATGTGCAGTAATGTTAAAAGTGATTATAGTAAATTTGGTAATAGTGAATGAATGCGATGAAAGTGGCATGAGAAGGAGGAACAGTAGAGAAGAAGCAAGGCAAATAAATGAGGGAAAAAGAATAATGAGTGGTAAAAAAGGAAAGAGAAAAACAAAAAAATTAAAAACCAATAAACAAAATTTTCCTACAATGAGAAAGTTCAAAAAAAGATAGGTTTGTTTGTTTTCTAAAATAAGATCAAGCCAGGTGTGGTGGCACACACCTTTAATCTCAGCACTCGGAAGGCAGAGGCAGGTGGATCTTTGTAAATTCTAGGCTACCATCATCTACAAAGCGAGTTCCAGAGCAGCCAGGACTAATACACAGAGAAAACCATGTCTCAAAAACACCTTAATTAATTAAGGCTAGAGCATTACTAAAAGGAATGAAGGAAAAAGGGAAAAGGCATAAAGAGAAAAAAAGAAAAGAAAAACTTGCTTAGCAATGAAAAAAGGGGTAAACAGAATTAGATGAATGTTTGAAGGAGAAAAGTGAAAACATAGATCTGTTTTTAATACAATAAGGTAAAAAAATACTAATTGTACCCAAGGAAGAGAAGCTTGGGGAACAAAGCATGAAGCCATGTGAGTCCTGCCAGCTTTTGCTGGCAGAGAGGCAAGTGGCCTTGTGGCCCTTGTCTTTGCTGTGGTTTGTGTGGTAGTGAACGAGTTTCTGTGTTGAGTTTGGAATCTTGCCTGTATAACAAAATCTCTGCAATTGTGGGCTGGGCAGACCCTCACCTTCCTGTGACCTCTGACACAGTACCCCTCCCTGGTGTCACTGAAACTCTGCTTGAAGGGGGCTCACAAGTGTACTGGGAGTGTGGCACACAGCACTGAGACCCATGCAGACAAAGCACCTGTCTGTCCTTTGCAGCCCACTTGACACCCTGGTGGAGGGATGCAGCTGTGGCTCTCAGGCAGCTTCCTGGGCCTTCTGAGATCTCAGGTCCTACAGCAGGCTCTCTGACTTGTTGTTGTCCCTTTTTTAGGTCACCCCAAGTAGATAAGTTTTTTGTTGTTGTTGTTGTTTTTTGGTTTTGGTTTTTACGAGACAGGGTTTCTCTGTATTGTTTTGGAGGCTGTCGGTCCAGCCTGGCCTCGAATTCACAGAGATCCGCCTGCCTCTGACTACCGAGTGCTGGGATTAAAGGCGTGCGCCACCACCACCTGGCCAGGTAGGTAAGTTTTAAACAGTCAGTTCCCTCAGATTGGTGCTCAGCCACTGCCCTCAGAGTGGGTTCCTCTCCCGCACTGACCCATGTGCCTGAGACATTAGTCTCACCAAAACCCACCACTAAATTGGAGGCTCTTTCTGCCTTGTCCTGAGGGTAGAGCTGTGTCTTCACCAGAACTAACTTCCCTTTGGATAAGGTTCTGCTCTATCCCACCCTGCCTCCACCAAACAGCAGTCAGAGCTGTTAGTCTTCGCTCCCTTCCTTTGGTGTACCCACTGTCCTGAAATACAGTCTTTTATACAGCTATTTCTTCACCAAATCGTGTGGAGGTGGCTGCCTTCCCTGAAAGTCCAAGGTTTCTAGTCTTTTAATCGATACGATTTGTTCTTTGGCAGTTTCCCACGAGTATATATGCTCTCACCCTGCCCACCCTCCTCTCTCTCCCAACCTGTGAGCTTCCCTTCGGCCTACAAGTCCATCTACTGCATTCTTGTCTTAGTTTGGAGATGTGTTTCCTAAGTACTGGAGGAACGCATTTCTTTTTGTTAAATGCAGAACGCTAATTTGAAAATCTCTTAAATTAGTAACCATATAGATTTGAAAAACAATACTTTGGTTTATCTTTAATGGCATATAAAACAAAATAGTTATATCGTGACCATAAACAGAAGGTAGTTAGGAATGTGGGCATGCAGTTTGGGGGTAAATGAAGTACGTTCATCCTTTCATTGAGTGTAGGATGCATATAGTCATGTATCTGGGGCAGTTAAAGGATAGTAAAGACAATACTGACATTCCATCTTCTGTATAAACATTTAATGCCTCAAAAATCATAGATTGTTATTTTTCTACATAATTGTTTTGAACTATGTACATAGGTAACTATTCAGCTTCAAATATTCAAATCCACTTACACAAGATTTTTACTGGAAGAATCTAACAAATTTCTTTATAGATTTATTTGTATTTCCCAAATTCTATTGCTGGTATTTTTTTTTACAGCTGTTACAGTTAAATACTCAAGTGTGAGAACATTATCTCTGTTATTTTTTCGTGCTCTCAAACTACAAGATAAAACATGGGTGATGGACTAGAAAGTAAGTAAATATCATTGCCAAGACTAATAGTAAGGGATCAACGAGCCATTTTCTTAGAAACCGCTGCTTCAAGGTGGAAGTCGTGTCAGGATATAGCTCCTGAAGTTGAGTTTGAGGAGGAAGCATCTCAATATTAGCCAGCCAGATGAAGTGTGCTGTGGGCTAATTTATCTCACTGTCTGGTTATGTGACCGTAAAATATTTGAAAAAAAATGAGTTGCATTTGATTGAAACATAGAAAGATTTTGAAAGATGAATCTCTAGACTTGGTATCAGTGGTTGTGAACTGAAGCTGTTTCTTTACAAGGTACATTGTGTTGAAGTGTTTAGAGCTTCATCCAGCCAGAGTTCCTTGTCTTTAATGTACTTGACTTCAAATTTCCTGGTCTGTTGTTACTCCCTTGAGCCTCTGACCTGCACTCTGTTTAGTTGTTTTCTCTGCCTGGGTCTGTATAAGTGATGATATGTTAGCACAAGCACAGGATTTAGAATTTAAAGGTCATGGCTTTGGGCACTGTCTCTCATTGGACCTCTCAAGACCTGGAGAGTCTCTGAACTCTGGGCTTGTTTGAGAGTGTGACATGGGAGCAACATGGCAGCTCCAGTGCTCAGAACGTGCTATTATCATCCGTCACCAAGTAACACCTTTTTAGCCATTGCCTGAGTTTGGGATACAGGAAATATATGAGTTTGCATGGAAGGACTTTCTTTTAAATTGTATTTTCCCCACTGTTTTTTGAAGAAGTGTTGAGAAATTAAATAAAATATAAGCACTAGGAATCCAGAATCCAGGAGACAGGCTGATGAAATGAAGCTTCTTCATCACCCATGAGGAAACAGGACCTGGAGGACTGACATTTTTATAAGGTCATGCAGCAAGTTCCTCTGGGGGTTGGGCTCCCTGAGGCCCTGAAGTCAAGACAACTCCTGTCTGCCTGTATCCTGCTTTCATAGCCATTCCTTTAAGTTTGCTGACTGGAATTTTGGCTTTTATGCAAAGCCTGGAAAGTGATGTTTCCTCATTCATTGACAAGGACAGTGATTCGTCAGACTCCGGGACACTGAGGAAATACAATTGTAGTAATTGAAGGGCACCTATGGGCAGGCCAGTTCTTGGCAATGGATTTTAAGGGTTGACTCCCACATTAGTACTGAAGTAGGAAAAACCTTAAACTTGAAAGGGTAAATAATGCATTTCAATAGAATTTTTCCAACAAGTTATTTTAGTGTATATATATATACCAATATAAAAGATATAGACATAGTGGGCACTGTAGCTCAGTTGGTAGAGTCTTTGCCTAGCATATATGTAAGACCCTGGGTTCTGTCAGCATTACGTATACCAGGCTTGGTGGCACATGCTTGTCGTCCCAGCACTCAAGCTCAAGGTTTTCCTCTGCTCCATATGGCATCGAGGCTAGCCTGGGCTAAAGGTTCTGTCTCACAAAAAAAAAAGAAAAGAAAAGAAAGAAAGAAAAAGAGAAGAAAGAGGGAGGGAGAGAGGGAGGGAGGGAGGAAGAGAGAGTGAGAGAGACAGAGAAAGAAGGAAGAAAAGAAAAAAATTGGAGGAATTGGGAATTGTGTGCCTGATTAAAATGCCAATACAAATGCCTACGTGTAGGTAGGTTACATCTAAGTACACATCATAATCATCATAATCAAATTACGTGACTTATTTGTTTGTGTCCATCATATAGTATGCCAGATTAGTACTATAAGCCATTAGTAATTACTCAGAGTGAGCATATGCCCATACTTTGTAAAGATACCAAATTCAGAATCTCCTTCAGGAAACCTGAGTGGAGCCAAAGTTAAAAATTTACAGGTGGTGAAGACAGCATCGGAAACTACCTGAAACTGATTATTCTAACATGGAAAATGGAGAGGTGGTTTATAAAATACTGTGCTAACAATCATGCCTGGAGTTGTGAAGCCATAGCTTTCTCTAGAGAAGTTCTTTGTTCTGGTGGTTACATTTTTTTCCTAATGCTGGATGGAGAAGTTAGGAAACAAAAGCAGTGTAAAAGGTAGTTTATAACAATAGTGATTGGGCCTTTTTACCATTGGAGAAGCCCATTATCTTTTTAATCCTTTCTTTTTTACAAATTAATTCAAGATAGTTTTTATCTATACCTAGAGCTACTGTGAGAACATCTTTGATCAGCATTTATACATCAGCTAGAATCTCAGTAAGTCTCTTACTGTTATAACACACAGTTGAGATTCCTTGTTGATAATTTAGTAAAAGTATATTGTGATTTTTGTCAGTATACAAGTAAACGGTGTTATAACTTGACAAGAGTGATTTTTAAAATGTATATTTCCAGAAATATTAACAGAATTAGGGAAGCACATTGTAAGCCATCTAAAGTACTATGAAACCAAGTCCCACAATGAAGGTTTTAAAAATTGTCTCTTCCAGAATACCAGGAAAAACCTACATGATAATAGCTTTTCTAACTGTGGGTACTATGGGCTTATCAAACACTTCCTTGGGCTACCTGAATTATCCCACCCAAGTCATCTTCAAGTGCTGCAAACTGATTCCTGTTATGCTAGGAGGAGTTTTTATTCAAGGTACAGTAATGACATGTTTTATACTGTTTGAAGCGCGAAGCTGTGTTGTGGCATCTGGCATTAGGAAAAACAGCAAATGTCCACAACACTGTTATTGAACGTTCTAGACACTGTGAAAATATAGCATCTGGTAAAAATAGAGGGTCATAAAAAATTGCTATTTCTAACATATTGTAGTATTTGAGGTTCATAATTGGACATAAGAGAGAAAAGCCAGTATTTTGCTTTATTATTTTATCTTTGAATTTAATGCATCGCCAATGCCATACCCACATAGTGAAGCCTTTTGAGTACATCCCCTTCTTCCCTGACGGCACTAGCTCTCATGATTTAGACTCCAGCTGGGTGGAGCTGAATGGAAAGAGGAGGCAGTTGGAGCAGCAATCATGGGAGGAAGTTGTTGCTTGGTCCCTGTCTTGGAGATCTCCCATCACTGAAGGGCTTGGGCAGCCCGCTCTCAGTGTGTGCATCAAGATGCCTTCCTGAGGCTGACCTTTTACAGTGGAAATGCGTCAGCCCCTCACTGAACACTTCAGGACAGCTGTTCATATGAAAAAAAGAATACCTCGGTCTCTATTAAAAATTCTAACTAGGCACATATATTTCCTCAGAATTTTTACCAAAAGCTAGAATACATTAGGCAGAGGAAAGTGAGGGAATACTTCCCTGCCTAACAGTTTTCACATAGTATTTATAAACTGAAATGGTAGTTAATATAGCCACAACCATTAGTTTCTTCCCTTGGTAAACTTACAAACTACAGGAAAGTCTGTAGCCTTTTATTACATATTATATAAAAGGCATACTCATTTCTACAAATAGTTAAAATTGGGGAGTATACCTTTTACTTTGGTTAGTTTTCACAAAATTGCAGTCATGCACTGTATAAGGAAGCCCTGGTCACCAGTAGACTGTATGTGTGTGTGCTTCCATGAGATCACATTGCTCAGTGACATCATAGCCATCTCAGTCTGTGTATGTTCCTGATGACGCCAAACAAGAAGAAGATCCCCCTCAGGTGCACTTTCAGGACACACCCTCCCCCCCATTAAGTGGTGCATGTGTTGATTTTTGTTTTGTTTTCCTGTCTTAATAGATAAAATCTCATTTCTATCTTATTAGAATACATGGTGCCTGCTTTAATCTTAACCCTCCTGACATTGCTATATGCCTTGATGTGAGTGTCCCTTATGTTTAGGGCATTAGACATAAATACCACATCCTTTTACTGCTTAGTGAGGCACTGTGATCTGATATCAGGCTGAGTGAATATTTGCATAATGAGGCAGGCTTCCTTTTGTCTTGTATAGGAAAGCGTTACAACCTTGCAGATGTGTCTGCTGCAGTGTGCATGAGCCTTGGCCTGATCTGGTTTACCCTGGCTGACAGCACGATTGCACCAAACTTTAATCTGACAGGTGAGGAATGTATCCGTATTCCTAACTTAACAATTCACGAGGATTTTAGCTGGTGCTGTGATGCCGGTGAGTCTCATACCTAACAAGGCTTTCAGACTTTTCAAACTATAGTAAAAGTGTCAGTGCTCTGGAGATGTAACACTGTGGTAGCATGACAGGAAGCTCCCGGTTAAAACATTAACTGTCAAAGACAAGAAAGTTAAGGTGTGGGTGTTGACCTGTGCATACACACAGTGCTTGTGGGGAAGTCACGGTGGTAATATGAATACAGGTATAACTCTGTGACTTAGTTTCCTCCATTGTTTTCTATGCCTTTTGTCAATTAAATTTAGATTTTCAAAAGCCAAGGAAGTATTACAGTATGTCCAGGAATAAGAATAAACATTACAATCCTGTTTTTATTTTCATGACCATGCAGATGAATCAGAGGTTCTCAACTTGGAGGTCATAATCCCTTTGTGGGGTCTTATGACCCTTACACATAGATCTCATATCAGATATTTACATTACAATTCATAACAGTAGCAAAATTACAGTTATGTAGTAGCCATGAAATAATTTTATGTTTGGGAGACACCACAACATGAGAAAGTGTTTTTTTAAAGAGTCACAGCATTAGGAAGGATGAGAACCACTGAGATAAATTGTTTTGGGTTACTTAGGGCATTTACTATTAGGCATTTCCCTAAGTTAGTAAAAGAATTTTACTAAGAACACAGTGTTATCCCATCATTTATCTTGACTGAAATATCATTTAAAATTTCTAGACCAGGAAAACAAAAATAAGAAAATATCTAAGAGGACAGGGAAAAGGCAATATTGGAATACCAGCAAGCACAAAATATAAAAAATCATTTCTATAATGAAAATATTGATTGCATTAGCTTCACAATTGTTCTTAAGAATCAGACCAGTTAGCCAGGCATTGGTGGCACATGCCTTTAATCCCAGCACTCGGGAGGCAGAGGCAGGTGGATCTCTGTGAGTTCGAGGCCAGCCTGGTCTACAGAGCAAGTTCCAGGACAGCCTCCAAAACAATACAGAGAAACCCTGTCTCGAAAAAACAAAAAAAAAAAAAAGAAAAAGAAAAAGAAAAAGAATCTGACCAGTTATCAGTCAGTCTTACTGCCCTTGTTAACCAGCCTGAGCTGATGTGTTTAAGAAGAACCAGTTGGGCCTCTTGGGGCAGCCCTCTCATAGCCACAGCCCTGAGGGAACTCGCTGCCTCAGCTTCCCAGAAACCTCGATGCTTAATTTCAGAGAATGTGTATGGTAGCAGCTGTTGTCATCAGGGTCAAGAATTTTCAGGAAATCTTCAATTTTTTTCTTTTTTTAAATTTAAATTAGAACAAGCTTGTTTTACATGTCAGGCCCAGTTTCTTCTCCCTCCCCTCCTCCCCTGCCCCCCACCAGTCCCCTGTCCCACCCCTTTTCTGCTCCCTGGGGAGGGTGAGGCCATCCATGGGGATCTCCAAAGTCTGTCATATCATTTGGAGCAGGGCCTAGGCCCTCCCCCTTGTGTCTAGGCTGAGAGAAGATCCCTGTATGTGGAATGGGCTCCGAAAGTCCATTTGTACCCTAGGGATAAATACTGATTCACTACCAGAAGCCCCATAGATTGCCTAGGCCTCCTAACTGACAGCCACATTCAGAGAGTGTGGTTTGGTCCTATGCTGGTTTCCCAGCTATCAGTCTGGGGTCTTTGTTTCCGTGGGTTTCTCCAGCCTGGTCTTGACCCCTTTGTTCATCAAATCTTCATTTTTTTACATCACAGACTTTCACAACAAGGGCATAATGAAAACAGACATCGTTGGCTCTTTTAAGTAGTTATAAAAACCAAGTTAGAGAAGACACAGATTTGCAGTGAATATAAATTTTGTAAAAAATATAACCAAGAATGAGTGAATTGTAGGCCCTTTATGCTCTCCCAGAGGATGGAAAGAACTCTTTGCTCATACAGAGCTGCTGAGAGGAGATGGTGGAGGATGTGGGAATAATTTTCCATGCTGTTTCAAGACTTTGACCTCCTAACCTGTGGCCAGGCTAGCTGTGTACTTTGATATGATTTACAACTATGTATTCATTCTGTTTACACACTGTATCCTCTTCCTGTTTAAAATTAACCTGTAAGAAAAACAGTGTAATGAACTATTTATTGTTTTAGATTCCCAGATGTACAATGTTTCTATTTCTCCTTGGTGACCTATTGAAGCCCCTGACTCAACAGTGTGTTTGTATGCATATTTGCATGTAGCTAGACCTAAGAGGATTCTCTGGAAATAGCAAGGTGTTGAAAGCAGCACTGAGGTATAGAATGATAACATCTGGGAGTGGCTGTGGGTGCTGCTCCAAATCAATAGGATCAGAAAAGCAATTTCTCCATTTGGGAAACTCCTGTAAAAGATCAAGACAGACCTTCCTTATTCCTTTGTAATGCCCTGTTTGTTGTGCTGTTTAATAAGTAGGAAAGATTGGCTTTGTTTGACCGAAGAGATCAGAACTCTCCAGAACAAGTCCCACCCACTCTTCAGTTAAGGGCACCAAGGGCTAGTCCCTTTTGTCTTACTTTATGTGGCCTTACCTGAGGAAGAAGGGCTGAGAGCATTCACATGCAGGGAGGGAGGGCAACAGGGACAAAGGCGGGAAGGTGTGCCCCAGGACACTGGACCTTCTTTTTTCCTGAGTTCCATGGGCACGTTTTGATAGAATTGGAACCCAGACATACTTTATGAAAGAAACTAGTGAGCCCTGGTCCCTACTTTTTAGAGCAGTAGTTCTCAACCTGGGTCATGACCCTTTTGGGGAGCTACCTACCCTTTCATGAGGTCACATATCAGATATCCTACATTTGGATATGTTTACATACAATTCATAACAAGCAAAATTATAGTTATGAAGTAGCAAGGAAATAATTTTATGGTTTGGAATCACCACATAAGGAACTGTATTAACAGTCACAGCATTAAGAAGATTGGGACAAGAAAGCCTGCAAGCGCCATGAAACCCACAGATGGAACTGTGGTGCCCCTTCCTCTATATGTGAAACTCAGAGACAGCCAGGCCTGTTCTCATGTACACCTGCATGTTGCTTCCTAGGAGTGAGTGCTGTCACCCAGACTCTATGCACTGGACCTGTCACTGCAGTGTGTGACAACTTAATATCGCTCACGTTATCCTCATGGACATAAAAGGGAGGCTTGCTTATGTGAAGAGTCACTGAGACAGTTTGGCCAGCAAGCTAACAAAGGCACTATTATTTTAGGTGCACCTGAAACAGTAAGGAATTGAAGGGTTGTAAAACTACAAAAGGGGTTGGTCATTCCAATTTTCCAAGATGTAGCTGCACTTTTTAACAGACACTACCTGGAAAGTGTGGAGACCATGGAATTGAGAGATTTATAGAGGAGACGGTAGAGTTCCCATCAGGAGCCATGCAGCAGAAATGACCTTGGCAATGCCCATGTGTTCCATTTAAATTGAATCTCTTAGGAGACCTTTTATGTGTATGATTTTTCTCTGTTTTTCCTTTCAAATCTTTAGTGTGGCCATCAATCACAATAGATCTTCTAGGAGTTTCTGCATGTGTTCCTTCCATCATACGATCCAGGTTAAAAGTAGTACTTGATTTGACGTGATGGTGAAGTGTGATTCTGATGGTAGCATTAGTTTATTAGCGTCTGTCTTTTTATGTTAGTATCATCACCTATGTGCTTACAAAACAAGTTATAGATCAGAATATTCAGCATTCCAGCCAAATGGGATTGATATTCGTCTTTTGATTTTTAGCCCAGTTAGACTTCTGGTCAACCTTGCTTACAGTTCATAGACTTAAAGAGGATCATTCTCTTATTTATTCTTTGAAGGTGTGATGCTTATCTCTCTGGCGCTGTGTGCAGATGCTGTCATTGGGAACGTTCAGGAGAAAGCTATGAAACTGCACAGTGCTTCCAACTCTGAGATGGTGAGCACCCCAGTGTTTCCTGAATGTCTGTAGGATGCATGGCTAATTTTATGAAATAGCTGCAGTGTCAAAGACTTAATGTACATTTTAACCCACTTTATCATTTTCAGGAACGTGATGCTAACAATAATGGGAAAGTTGGGAGAGAACCTGTCACTGCTAACAGCTTGTTGTATAACTGGTCAATGTTTTTCTTGTTGGTTTCCATAATCTTTTATCTGTTAAAAGAAACCTCTTTGTGACATTGTTTTCCTTCTGTTGTATTTCTCTTTGTTTTACTCTCAGTGTGGAAATTTATAATTCTTACTGGTCCAACTTCTCTTTTTAATTGATGGCTTCTGGCTATGTGTCAGAAGGCTTTTCCAACTCAAAATTTTCACCCATGTTGCCTAGTAGTTTTATTATTTCCATTTTCTTATTAAATAAATCGTGCTACAACCCAATTCTGTTTACTGAACACCCCACCCTTCCCACTTGTTTTAGAAGCCTTCTTTACTCCACATCCTCACACAGGGGTCAGAATTGAATTCTCTAGAATTGATTTCTGCCTCAGCCCATAGAAATTTGGACAGCTTCATTCGTTCCTCATTGTTAGGACTGGCCACCTTTGCTCCTTTTCAAGAGAGTGTCACTACGAGCAGCTAGTTACTTCTGGGTGCTCATACCCTCACATAAACTAGAACCATCCCCCAGGATGGTGACTGATGTAGCACTGAATTATAAGTTAATTTGGGGGCATGACATCTGTATACTTGATTCTTTCAGTCTAAGACCAAGGTATGGCTTTCCTTTTATTCAAGTGTCTCTTTAAAATATTTTTATTTTATTTTTAGTTGTGTTGTGTGTGTGTGTGCATGCGTGTGTACATGAGTATAGGTACTAGCAGAGGCCAAGATTCCCCTGGAGCTGGAGATGCAGACAGTTGTGAACCACCCACCATGAGTGCTGAGAACCTAACTTTGCAATCCACCTTCTTAATTCCTGAGCTCTCTCCAGTCTCCCCAAGTATTCCTTTTAAATGTCCACTAGATTTAAAAAGATTCTTCAGATAAAATATCTTCTGCTTTTATTTTTATATAGGAGAGAGAGTGAGAGACAGACAGACAGACATTGAGAACACACTTGCTTTGCTGTTCAGATAGACACTGCATTGAAGACATAAAGGGATATGTTTCTTGTTGCTGTCTGGACACAGCGTGGGGCATCCTAAGTGACATCTCAGTAGCAGGAACTTGAACCTTGGTAGATCTTTGTTGATCACTTGCACTACTCTTCATGGCTGGGGTAAGGATGCCTCAGAATTGAGAGTATACAGGTCACCTGGGAACTCAGGGTAGCACACAGGGCGGAAGGCTTAAAACTGAAGCCTTGGTTCATATCCTACATTACTCTGTAGCTCTCCTTTGGGGCAAACTACAAACTCTGTGTTCGTTTGAAAGCTGGGTGATGGGTATAGGATTAAGAGTAGGTTATCTGTGAGAGTTAGGAGAGTAGCCCACATATGGGACAGTGTAGGTAACCTGTAGCAGACTTTTCACTTAGAATCTGGAGGAATCCTGGGTGAAGAGCTAATAAACTGGAGTAAAAAGTGAGTGTGGAAATTAAAAAGTGGAGATTTTCATATCCTCTGCAAACTCCAGTGTTCAGGACATTTATTCTGTCTTTTAAGTAGCTCTAAGGATTTTGTCATATTTATGCTTTTAGAATGACAAAGTCTAAATTTAGCAATTAATCCAGAAATGAGTAAAATTTAAACTATATGGAAGGTTCCATATGGCCATGAACATAATACTGTGTGTGTGTGTGCATAAGTATCTATGTACGTATTAAGTCATAGGTCACTAGAATCAGCCACTATTTCTAGAAACTTCAGCCATAGGCAATGATAATGTTGCTTTAAGAATGTTTCATTTTGCAGCATTGATTGAGTAAATTAATTGTTCTATGTATTCAATCCTGCCAGTTTCCCCTTTTGGTATGACAGTCATTTTTCTCCTTTACTTCTGCCTCCCCCAGGTTTTATATTCATACTCGATTGGTTTTGTATACATTTTGTTGGGATTGTCGTGCACTAGTGGACTAGGCCCTGCAGTGACATTTTGTTCAAAGGTAAGCACTAATCACATTTTAGAAATAAACACCTTACGTTTAATAAATTTCTCTGTACTGTTTTTGCCTAGTTCAAAAAAAAGGCTATTGTTGATATAATTTGGTAACTCTCCGAATACAACATTGCAGATCAGAAATGAAAGATCTCAGAAATGATTGATATATAATTTTTTTAAATCTCTAATCATAATGTACAAATCAAGGGTTATTCATTTCATCAGTATTTTCCCATTAAATAAAAACTAAATATTGCCTGTTTGACTGCATTGTGGGATGACTTACTATTGCTCAAGAGTCCAGTTCACATCTGTGGCTTGATTCCATGAGCTCCCTCGGGGCTGGTTTTGTGTCTCTCTAACAGGTGGGCTTCTGGGAAGGGGGGAGTAGTTTTATATCTTTGTAACGAGTCATTCACTCTTTGCAGAACCCTGTTCGAACCTATGGCTATGCCTTCCTCTTTTCCCTCACTGGATACTTTGGAATCTCATTCGTTCTGGCTCTGATTAAAATCTTTGGTGCTCTTCTTGCCGTAACAGGTAGGAGGAGATGTGCTCAAGATTGGGAAGTAAGTGCTGTGTTTCTGATGCTGTTTTACAAACACAAGAGTATGACCGCTTCCCTAAAAAGAGTACTGCTCTCTATCTTATGCTTTGGTTCTAAAGGAAACGGTGTTTGGTCTTAATTACTTGTTTCGGGATTTCATTTCTGTTTTTCCCTTTGTGCAGGGCTGAGGATAGACCCTTGGCACTCAGCATGCTGGGCACGCACTCTGCCACTGAGCTGCATCCCAGCCCTGAAGGCTTCATTTTTGTGTCAAATATATACATTTTCATGGAAAACGTTAAATACATTAGAAAAAATTTGCTGTGAAGCTATGATGGAATGAAATCCCTTCAGGGAAAACACTACCTTCATATACTTTTAATTGATTACTGAAATTCCAGTCTTCTTGCACTTAAAATATGGCAGGTGCATTTTGTAGTTTGCAAACCTTTCACTTGAATGTTTGTTAGCACCAGCCCCAGATCAGTTTCTCTCTTGCCCAGTGATGACGTGTCTGTACCTGGCACTGTAGAGGACTGCAGGTTGCATTTGATATGTTTGGAGAAATGCACAGCAGAGTGAGGGGAGCCAATGACTGTGTGTACTGCATCACTTTCCAGAGCTGTAATACGCACGTGCCTCCATGACATTTTTTTCACTGTCAACTAAAAGCCAGAGATAGACATGATAGTAGCTAACACAGGGCCCTTCCTACGCACTAGTCACCTTTCCAGATACAAGTCTCATCTCAATCCTAACTAGCTACACTCAGATAAACACAAGTGTGGAAAGGTTAAGTGGCTTGGGTGACAACCGACTAACATCAGGATTCCCAGGAAAGCTGCCTGGGTCCACACCGACTGTCTTCACTACGCTTCCTTGGTTGGCATGGTGAGAGACTGCATGGTCCTCAGTACCCTCCCTACAATTGCATCCTCCAGCTGTGCTGGGCAGCAGGATGGAGTCCAAGAAGATGAAAGACACAACCTCTGGTGGAAGCTTTCTACGATACTGTATTCCTCAAAACAACACATTAACCTGCATTTTTCAGGCCAGATCCTGAGACACATGACCACACCTAAATGTAGAGGAGGCAGGAACATATGCCCATCTCAAATAGGGTATCCTAAAAACAGTCATTGCAGATCAGGCCATGACTTGTGTTTCCAGAGCAAGTTCCTCAGTTCCTCATTCACACTTGATGTTAAGTGCCTGGAGCCGTAGTCCAGTGAGACACAGGAGAATAGGCATGGAACTGAGGGAAGCCGTGTGAGGGAGAGGAAAGCCCTGAATGGAGACATGTGTGGCTGCTCCTCTGCATGGGCCTTACAACAGAGGTCGAAGTATGATACCCAGAGAGGGAGGAAGGGTCCCATTCTCAGAGGTCACCGTGACTACACACTGTGGGGCACATACCTGGAATCTCAGTGCGTTGGAGGCTGGAGCAGGCTGAGCAAGACATGGCAAGACCTGTCTCAAAAACAAACCCAGACACTAGTGACCCTTTCCCCTTTCCCTGTTTTTAGGGATAACCCTTGCTCTTCCTTGCTCCAGCGTGCCATGCCAGCTGATGAGTACCCACAACAGCTGTACTAGACACTCAGCTGCACCAGTGCGGGTTCTCTACTGAGCCAGCAGCAACATGAACTCAGTTGGCTGTTGGCTGGTCGGTCACATTGTCTCTGGCACCTCAGAGGTTCTGTCTTATACAGAGCTATGCATATTAGTAGAATAAATGATTTACAAATATTGCCAAGATAGTAAGGTGCATCTAAATCTTTTCCCCCCTGCAGTGACAACAGGAAGAAAAGCAATGACCATAGTCCTTTCGTTTATATTCTTTGCTAAACCATTCACATTTCAGTAAGTACTTTTTAATTCAAGTTTCTCAAAATTTAGATACTGTATTTCATATTTTGTCTTAAACATTATTTTCTGACTTTTACTTTGTGCTAACTTATATGTTAATCTTTATTAACCTATTGTCTTCTACACAGAATCCTTTTCATCCTAATCTCTTATCTATTACGTGTCCTCTGCTATTTTAAGAATTTTATAATTTGTTATTTTGAATGTCATTTTGTATACTTGAATTGCCCAGCTAAAGCCCAGTGGGAATGTGGTCTTATTGCATTGAGGCTGTGTAAGACAGGGACATGTGATGCAGAATCACTGACTGGGTTAAGTGTGTGTACCAGTAGGGCTGCCTGTTGGTGGCGTGTGTCTGTGTGAGGGAAGAAGCCTGGAGTGCAGTGTGACGACTGTTAGTGCATGTTAGTTCTGACGGGGTGAGCACAAGTGTGACGACTGTTAGTGCATGTTAGATCTGACGGGGGTGAGCACAAGTGGTGTGCACGTGGTGAGTAAAGGACTTTTTCTTCTCACACATATATAAACTGTGTTTAAAATTCATTCTTGTAAAGCCTTTGTGGCTTCTTTCCATAATAATAAACGATAGAAAAGTATTTTGTAAATGTATCCTAGTGATTTTAGTGCGTGGCTTCTTACAAAAGTGTTCGACAGTCTTTGCTGTCTGTTATGATGTGTTTGAAAGATGTTTGTTTAAACATTATATGTCAGTAATTGAGATTTCAAACCTAGTTTACAAGTACATAATTTTAAGTAAAATTGTAAATTTCCATCAGTACATTACAGGTTGTTTGTTGTCTATAGATTACTTCTCTCTATGTATGTGATAGTATATTATAGTAATTGAATTATGATGGTCCTCTGCTTCCTGCAGAATGTGTCCCTTCTTGTCATCTGTGTTCTACTTACCTGGGACAACTAGGTGGAGTGCTGGGTTGAGTAAATGAAATAGCCTTTGATAGATAGAGATCTGGAGTTTTAACTAGTACAGGTTAGTGTCTTTTGGTACAGGTTAGACTTTGAATGTACTAGTAGCCCTGACGTTTAAATTACTCTCACTTTGTGTAACTTTTTCTGTATATGTTCAGCATAAATGTTTTTGAGACTTTATACATGTATACAATGTGTTTTGATCAAATCTATCCACTGCCCCCCCATTTTTTCCCAACTTCATGTACTCTCTTTTGTTAACTACTGAGTTTACTTGGTGCTGCTAGTATATATATAAGTATAGGGTCATCCATGGGGAGCATAAGCAACCTATCAGGGACTACATCCCTAAAGAAAATTAACACTCCATCAGCATCCTTTAATTGCCAATACCTTAGCTAAGGGTGAGGCTTTTGGTTGCTTTTTTTTTTTTTCAACTGGACACAATCTGGGGCCAGCTTAGAAGAGGGAATTTAAATTGAGGAAAATACCTCCATCTGAGCCTGTGGGCAAGCCTGCAAGGCATTTTCTTGGCTAATGATTGATGTGTGAGGGTTCACCTCACTGGAAATTGCCTTCCCTGGACAGATGGTCCTGCGTGTGTGATAAAGCAAACTGTGCAAGCCAGGAGGAGCAAGAGGTATGCAGTGTCTTTGATGGTCTCTGCTTTGTTCCTGCCTTGAGTGTTCCTGACTGGCTTCCCTCTGTGAAATGGGACTCGAGATGTGTAAGCCAAAGAAAACCATTCTTCCTCATGTTGCTTTTGGTCATGGTCTATGCAGTAGTAATGGAAAGAAGACTGGAACAGACTAGCCCCTCTCTGCTCCATTCAACATATGGTTCTAGTAGTTTTGTGGGTTTCGTTGGTTGGGTTTTGGGGGTTTTTTTTTTTGGTGTTTTTTGTTGTTTTGTTTTTAAGATAGGGCTTATCTGTGTAGCGCTGGCTGTCCTGGAACTTCAGTCTGTAGAACAGACTGGCCTTGAACTGAGAGATCTGCCTGCTTCTGTATCCCAAGTGCTGGGATTAAAGGTGTGCACCCACCACCCAGCTAACAGCAAGTTTTTCATTTGATTGAAGTTATTATGAACTGACTACCACATGTCATAATTAACAGTGAAATTTTAACTTGTTAATTTTAATATCTACTTTTCATTTCTTTCTTTTAGGTATATATGGTCTGGCCTGTTAGTTGTCCTTGGCATATTTCTCAATGTTTACAGCAAAAATACGGATAAAATAAGATTACCATCAGTGTACAATCTGATAAACAAAGCCATGGATGTGAAAAAGTCAAGGACATTGGCACAGACTGTGTAGGCACTGAGGTAGCCTATATAAAACAGAATCTAAGGGAATAATCATTCACCAGTTGACTTTCCAAAGGACTGTGATGAAAACCAAAGGATCTAAAGGCTGCTGTTGAGTGATCAGCGGTTTGTGATGTCAGCCTCTGCAGAGCACACGTTTGACCAGCTCCCGAAACAGTCAGAGCCACTCCCAGGACATGTTTCAATAAAGGCAGTATGAAGGAAAGCACTTCCTAGCAGTGTCCTGAACATTTCACTGGAAATGGACCGTGTTGCAAAACCGATTGGAAATCCCTCCAACATGCAGCTCGGGTTGTGTAGTAGTGCACTGTTTCGTCTCCATTCCGTTTTGGTGGTGTTATTTAAATTGCTTCTCTGTTATAAGAGTGAACCGATGATTTAAAGTCTAGAGAAAATAGCATTCATTTATAAATAAAATTATCCTTGATTTTTTAATGATGTTTTAATAAAATTTGTTATTGATGAAAATGGAGATGAGATGGCTTAACATGCACTTTAATATTCTGAATGCATCCTTGTGTGTGTGCACAGGATGAAGGGCTTCAAGGAAATATGCTAGGGTCACAGTGTGCCACGGTGGCTTTAATTTGGGTTGTTTTAATCAAAGGGCAGAAGATAGCATCTTAAGTTATATAGAATTTTCCTAATTCTTCATAAAGGATGAAATGTGATTTGAAGGGTTGAGATGAAGTGGGGTGCACTTAAAACCTGGGTAGATTTGGCAGACCTGGACAGCATTTTTTCTCAGACTCTAATAAAATCTCGATAGTCTGTTTGGGTAGCTTCGATATACTGAGGTTTCTTTCTAGTAGTTCTGGTTGCTAATGAGTTCACACTCATGGTGCTAGCAAACCTGTAGCAGCTGCCCCCTACTTCGTAGATGGCATCTTCTTGCTGTGTCCTCGGGTGTTCAGTTCCAACCCCTTCATGAGGTCTGTGCCCTTGTGACTCAATCTCCTAATGTTGTCACTAGGGAATTGGGATTTTTACAAGAGAATATAGGATACATAAGTAGTTTTAATGCCTTTCAGCATTGATTTTTATTTATTTATTTATTTTTTATTTTCCAGACAGGGTTTCTCTGTATTGTTTTTGAGGCTGTCCAGGAAACTCACTCTGTAGACTGTGCTGGCCTGGAACTCACAGAGATCTGCCTGCCTCTGCCTCCTGAATGCTGGGATTAAAGGCGTGGGCCACCAATGCCCAGCCCAGCACTGATTTTTGTAATTGTTGTATATGTCTGCTCACTTGTGTGTGTATGTGCCCACATTCACACATGAGTGCATATGTGTATAAAAGCTGTTACTCTTCATTTGCAGCATAATCAATATAATTAAAACTGTGGTTTATGCCTCTTTAGTGGCATCATATTTTGTTGTGATTATTATATCTTAATGGATGCTTAACCTGTTCTTTGCTGCGTGGGTCGAGCAGAGCCTGCAGTCATGAAAGTGTCTCGGTAAGGAGTTGTGCTTGGTTTTTATTCATCACATACTGTGGTGGCTATTTCATAGTTCTCACCCTAAATGGGAGTCTACGCTTCATTGTGCTGTCTTGAGCTGCTGCTGTGGTAAGTACTTGTGCTTCAGACTCCAGAATTGGGAGAGAAGTTTTCTGACAAACCCAATCTGATAAATGATAGACAGTAACTGATTAAGTATTAAGTAAAGAATTTATACAACAAATATGCCAGCATCGTTTTGGCATTTACATATAGATCTATTTGTTTTAAGCTAGATGTGGATGCCGATTCTGTGTTCACATTATGCCTTTGTCTTATATAGGCAGTCACTAAATATGTGGCAGAGTAACCAAAGACATACTGCTAAATTGAAACTTTTGCTCTTATGTCCCTCTTTTTGGCTTCTTACAGAAAAATAACAGCAGAATCTTTCCAAGAACTGTAAATCATGTTAGTATTAGGTAAGCCAGACAGGGCAGAATTCTTGTTAAGACCTTGTGTAATAAGGAATTGGATTGGCCATTATCCTCAGTGCCTGGCAGGGAACCTCTAAATCCTTAAAATTTCCTAAATAATAGGGGTGCCTCACAAACCTCTCCTCCAAAGCCTACCTCTAGGCTTATTTTGGCTGGTTTAAATGTGTGCCTTTTACAAGGAAATTGATGGGATGTGCCATGCTCTCTGGAGTTCCGGGAATTGTTTAGTGATTTGAACATGAGAACCCCTGAACTTACGAGGGGCCTGGGAATGCTGAGGCATGCCAGAGCCGTGAAGACTGCTCTCATTACACTGTGCTGCCTTGGGGTAGTACGGTTCAGATTTGAACTGTAGACTCCATGCTTGTTAACAGCTATGAAAGACCATTAGCATCCTTTGGGCAGTGATCTAATGCTTTTTATTTGTGCAGTTTGTTTTTAGGTTGAAGACACTTAGCCTTGAACCAGCCATCTCTGCACCTGGGTTAACACCATTGTAATTTCTCTAGCATAACTGCTTTATTTCATGATATTATTTGTTCACTGATTTTTATTTGACTGGGAAAAGATGAGCCAGGCATTGGTTCTGCTAGATTTTCAAGATTCAGGGTAAAGGGGGGAGAGCACCCCTATTCTGTAGAACCCCAGCCTTGCCAAGTTGTCTTTGCAGTAGGTGATGTTTTGTTCTTTTGTTTTTTAAGACAGGGTTTCTCTGTGTAGCCCTAGCTATCCTGGAACTCACTCTGTACACCAGGCTGGAATTAAAGGCATGTGCCACCACTACCTGGCTAAGTCTTAACTATGGTTATTTCTCTAAGACCTAAATATGTATCTGAATATGAAGATCTTGGCAGCTTTGTTTTGCTTTTACTCATTTGCAGTCCTGGGGATTAAAGACCAGGTTTTGTGTGTGTGTGTTAGGCAAGTATTCCACCATTGGTTTATATTATAACCTTTTTTTTCTTTGTGTGTGTGTGTGTGTGTTTTTGTGTATGTGTAGTGTATGTATGTGTGTTTGTGCATCTGTGGAGTCCAGAGGTCAATGTCACTTGTTTTTGTTGTTGTTAGTTTGCTTTGTTTTTCTACCACTCTCCATCTTGTATTTTGAGACAGGGTCTCTCACTGAACTTAGAGTTCACCAATTGGCTAGGTTGTCTGGCCATGAAGCCCCAGGCATCCTGGTTCCATCTCCTTTGTGCTGGATTACCACTGAGCACATTGTGCTAGGGATGGACCCTGATCCTTATATTTCCCCAACAAGCATCTTACTAATTCAGCTGTCTCCCCAGCCCCGCTTTGGAACTTTGGATTTTGAGAGTCTCACTAAGTTGTTTAGAAATAACTGTGAACATACTTTATGCCCTAAACAAGTTTTAAATTTGTGATTCTCTTACTTAAGCCACCCTAGTAGCTGAGATGCTGACCTGAGGCACAGGCCTGGCCTGAGGATCTTCTTACTAAGATACTTGTCTGTGTACTTGTATCAGTAGGGTGGGGTTTAAGCCTGAGATTCTGCTCCAACAAACTCCCAGGCAGCGTTGATGCTGCTGGACCACGGACCATCTGAGGTTGCAGGCCCATGCTTCAGACAGTTTCCAGTGTCTGAATACCTTAAATTATTTGAACAATTCTCACCTGATCTCCCTCCATTTGCTTTCCAAACGTCCGCATGACCCAATTCTCTGTAAGTGCTGTCAGAATGTGTGTTAAAAGTAAAAATAAATATTAGCTTCTGGTGGGGGTAAAAGGTTCTTTGATCACCATAGTTGTTTCAGGGTTTAATAGTCATTAAATTTCCACGAAGGTGACTGTTTTCTAGTTTTTATCAGAGGAAGATAAACCCCTAGTCCCCTCCCAGACATGTCTATTGCTTTACTTTCATGACAGGCAGTTTAAGTTTTTGTTGGAGTGACATGAAGAAAATGCTCACTTCAATGGTTCTCTACTCTTGCAGAGTGCACTGTGTGTTACAGGGACAAGGGAAGAGGTCTTTTGAAAGTCAGTCACAAAGTATGTTTTATTGAATGTCTCAATCCTATAATACCTCCAGTCTACAATATCATAGGTTGTTTTAATTCGTTTTAACTTAAGATTGAAAGAAATAAATATGAATAATAACCATGAGACTTTGGAGTTCTGACTGTTAAGGATCACGGTTTGGATTCTTCTTTTCTCTCCTAATACAGTGAAAGATGAGCAGCTATCAACACCATTTCCTTCATTCTTGCAATACATTAAGTGTGTAGACACTTTCACTTGAACATTTTGCAAACGAATTTTTCATATTTTCAGGAAAAACTGTTGATCTCTACCGTAAGTGTAAAATTTATTTTTGTGTGTGATGGATGAGAGACGTTCATAAAGATGAGTAATCATCTCTGGCTTCTAATTGTATTTTCACTGATCATACTGGCCTGCAATATCTGTGCTGAGTAGTGCAAGTTTATAGTCTCAGGACTGTTTAGGTGTTTGGTTACCTGTCATGAAGCCATCAAAAACAATTCAGTGCCATAGAGATGTCTGTCTTGTGTGGTAGAAGTTATTGATGGTTTCAAGAAAAGCATGATGGGAATAGTGCTGTACAGCAGCCAAGTGAGCATGAATGAGACCCAGCTAGGTTTGCATCAGTGAGGGAGAGAGCGGTAAAAGCCACAAACTGAAATTCTGCCTCCTAGCATTCCCATCACCCATGAATTACACACCTATTTCTTAGTAGCTTGCCACTCAGACGTGCTCATAGCTATTAATTTTTTGTATATTTTCAATGAGACCAAGGACTTGTCTATTTACAAAGGTTCTAAGGACATTTAACAGTTTTCTTTGCATCTTGGCAGACCTGTCTTCTGTCCTGAGTTGCCTTTCATGGTTCCCACCTTGATGCTCGTTGCTGATATGGGGAAAATTCTTTAGTCCATTGTGTCTGCCTCTTTTGTTTTCATCTGTGCTGCCTGATGTGCACCCATTTCCCATGCACGTGCTTCCGACACCACTGCTACACATTCAGACCTCATATTTCTTTTTTAAAAACACTTTTTTAATTAAATATTTAAATTAGAAACAAGCTTGCTTACCATGTCAGTCCCAGCTCCCTCTCCCTCCCCTCCATGCCTGCTCCTGCCCATCAGCCCCCCACTCCATTCCCCAGGGAGGGTAAGGCCCTCCATGGGGGATCTCTATAGTCTGTCATTGTTTCCAGGGAGCGCCCAGGCCCTCCCCAAAGTGTTCAGGTTGAGAGAGCATCCTTCATTATAGGATGGGCACCCAAAGTCCATTTGTGTGCCAGGGATAAATACTGATCTACTACCCAAAGCCCCATAGATTGCCTAGGTCTCCTCACTGACACCCATATTTAGAGGTCTGGATCAGTCCCATGCTGACTTCTCAGCCATCAGTCTGGGGTCCCAGATCTCCCCCTTGTTCAGGTCAGCTGTTTCTCTGGGTTTCACCAGCCCAGTCTTGACCCCTTTGCTCATCACTCCTTCCTCTCTGTCACTGGGTTTGAGGAGTTCAGTTCAGTGTTAAGCTGTGGAGGTCTGCCTCTGCTTCCATCAGCCACTGGATGAAGGTTCTAGGATGGCATATAAGGTAGTTGTCAATCTCATTACCGTGGAAGAGCATTTAAGGTAGCCTCTCCACTATTGCTTAGATTGCCAGTTAGTGTCATCCTTATAGATCTCTGGAGATCTCACTAGTGTTAGATCACACTGCAAACCTAGAACAACTCCCTCTATTATGGTATCTCTCATCCTGCTCTTCTCTATTCTTCCCCCAACTCACCCTTCCTGTGCCTCCGTGTCCTCCTCTTCTCCCCCTCTCTTTTCCCTGGCTCCCTCCCCCCCACCCATGCTGCCAATCTGCTCAGGAGATCTTGCCTCATTCCACCTTCTCTGGTGTACTATGCATGTCTCTCTTAGGGTCCTTCCTGTTTCCCTGCCTCTCTGGCAGTGAGATTGTAGACTGGCACTCCCCTGATTCTTGTCTAAATCCATATATAAGTGAGTACATACCATGTTTGTCTTTTTGTGACTGGGTTACTTCACTCAGGATGGTTTCATCTAGTGCCATCCATTTGCCTGAAATTTCAAGGTTCCATTGTTTTTTTCTGCTGAATAGTACTCCATTGTGTAAATGTACCACATTTTCTCTATCCACTCTTCGGTTGAGGGGCATCTAGGTTGCTTCCAAGTTCTGGCTATTACAAATAATGCTGCCATGAACATAGTGGAACAGACATCCTTGTTGTATGAATGGGCATCTTTTGAATATATGCCTAAGAGTGGAGTTGCTGGGTCTTGTGGTAGGTTTATTCCCATTTTTCTGAGGAATCTCCATACTGATTTCCAAAGTGGCTGTACAAGTTGACACTCCCACCAGCAATGGAGGAGTGTTCCCCTTTCACCACATCCTCTCCAGCATAAACTGTCATCGGTGT